AAAAAAAAAAAAAAATTGTCGATTGTTAGGTCTGCCCAAGAAAAAGATAAAAAAGAAGCATACAGCCTTTTTAATCCGGAACCGATTTGCTTTTCGTATTTGTTTGCTGATCGAAAACTGGTTTCCCGAGCCATATTCATTAATCACGTTCCCATCATAGCAATGCATTATGCCTTTGTTTGGGATTAATTTTATTAAAATCATTTTTTTCGGTCCTTGGCAACACGTCCCCTAAAAAAATATTTTTCATGTTTTTCCATAAAATCACTTTTCACAAAATTAATTCTTAAACAATCAACTTCGCACAAGGACTATATAAATAGTTAAAAAGTCGTGTGATATGCTTAAAAAGCTCCTATAATTCTTGGTGGGTGTCAAAGTTCATAAAAGCAATTTACAGAAATAGAATAGTAAATAGACCATGAATTGGTTTATAGTTATATATGAATTTTCATATTTATAATCACAGATTCTAAATGTTCAACGCGTATAGAATTCAAATTTTGAATCATATCCCTAATGCAGTGTTGATGACCCCAGATCCAGTGAACCCGAACTCGATCATCAACCCCGAACTTGATGTCCCCCAAAATCACCAAATCAAGCTCAGGTCTATGAGCTCGGGGTTATGTGTCGTCATGTCAGGTGTTTTTTGACGATCTATGAGAACACAAATCCTACCCAACCTATAATTCTTACCTAGTTAGACTCCCTTTTCGATTCAAACAGTGGTTGAATGCTTGGAATGAAACACTAACACCTTATCCTACAAGGATAAGGATCACACATGGCAAAGTCATTCTAGGACTCTATCATCAGCACCTATAAATACATAACTCGGGCTCATTCTTGAGGTACGTTTTTCATTATCTCCAGTTTATAGTCTCACGTACTAAATTTTCTATCTGACTTAAGCATCGGAGGGGCGACGAACACATCGTTGCCTTTGTTTCAGGTATTCGAAGATCGTTCCTGTTCATCCAAGCTCGGAGTTTGATTTTCAAGTTCGAGATCCTTTAGGTACTATTTTTTGGTAGCATCATTGGCGCCGTCTATGGGAATCGCTACCAAAAGCCATAGTCAATACACGTTCAGGTCTTCCTCCAACAAGCTCATTTGTCCGGGATAACCCTCCTCCTCCTGAGGAACGCCATGTCCCTCAAGAAGAATCATCAGAGATGCGAACACCTCCTTAAGCTGTTGTTACCATCGGAACTTTTGAGGAACTTCGTCAGCAGATGGCTGCATTAACCCAATTGTTAAGCTAGAGAAATTTGAACCCGTCGCATACCCAACCGCTAAAGGTGGTTTTATGGCAGACGCCCGGGCTGAGTCCGACATACAACTCATGATGACAGCGGGGTTGGAACTTCAGGTGTACCGCAAGTGGCTTCGGGTTCAAGGTCCGTTACAATGGACTCCGCTGAACTTGCTAGAATTATTTAAGAAGAGATAGCAACGAGTATGCAACAAAATACTCGGGTAACAACAGGGTTCACTCCCAATACGCCATTCACTCTAGAAGTCCTTTCGCATCCTCTCCCCGATAGGTTCAAGTATCCTTGGTAAAGGAGTACGATGGGACAACCGACCCCATCAATCATCTCAATGTGTACATGGATATCATGAACTTACAGGTTGCACCAAATGTAGTAATGTGCAAGGCCTTCCCTCAAACCCTCACAAACGTAGCTAGAGATTAGTTTTCCACATTGGAACCGAACTCTATCTCCTCCTGCTTAGATTTAGCCAATAAGTTCTCCGCTTTCTTCACAAGTAGCAAGCGAATCAGAAAGATAGATGCATCACTCATGCAGATGAGTCAAGGACCCAATGAGACACTGCGTAGTTTCATGACCTGGTTCGATAAAGAAAGACTTCAGATCCCCGATCTACATATCACTGCCGTAGTCTCAGCTTTGATATACGCCGTCAAGTGTGAAGCATTCAAGATGTCCTTGTCTAAGACCCCACCGAAGTCAGTAACTAAGCTACTCACACCAACTGAGAAATACATCAATATGGAAGAAACCATGGCCCCAAAAAAGAAGTTTTCTCATCAGGAAGGTTGGATCAGAAAGGGCCGTATGAGTTTATTTTGAGACAAGATACACCTCGGGTCAAGCCAAGGTAGGACCCCTCCTCAACATCCTTTACCCGTTTGAACACCTCGAGGTCCAACATTCTGATGGAGATCAAGGATTCGAAGGAATTGAAGTGGCCTCCCATATTGCGGTATCCACCCGATACTCATGACAAGAGTAAGTACTATGATTTCTGTAGAGATCATGGACATATAACGGAAGACTGTTTCGCCTTGAAGCAGGAGATTCAAGCTCTTATAAAAAGGGAATTTTTGGACCCTTTCGTTAGTAATGACAAGTGCCCAAGGAATAATCAGAACAGAGATAAAGGCCAGAGGGTCGGGGAAACAAGCAACCAACTGCAGTTACTATCAATATCATTGTCGGAGGAACAGCCTCGGGAGGAAATTCTAGTAGCGGGCGTAAACAGTATGCCAAGCAGCCTCCAATCATCTCAAGATCAGATCTTAGTTGTATGGAGGACATTACTTTTAGAACGGAGGACTTGGAAGGAATAGCATTCCCTCATGATGATGCTCTGATCATATTGGCTATCATCGCCATCTTGAAGTCAAGAGAATTCTGGTAGACAACGGAAGTGCAGCTAATGTACTGTCTCATGAAGCCTTTGTTCAAATGGGGATCTCATCGGAGCATCTCAAGCCAATCAAAGCAACTCTCCAAGGATTTTGAGGTGGGGTCATTACCCCGAAAGGTATCGTCGGGTTGCCTCTAACACTGGGGACAGAAGGTAAACAGGTGATGCAGATCACCACCTTTGAAGTTGTCC